CAGGTGGTTACTTACGATTTAACAAGCAGCCGATACTTTAGGGTGTTACGGTAAAGCATGTACAATATAAAAAGCGATTTCCAGGAATTCTTCAAGCAGCAATATCCTTTAGTACAGTATTATACCAATACTTATGTATTCAATAAAATCTAATTGAGTACATGTATTGAAGATTAAGGTCTCGTTGAACTGTGTAAATCAAATCATTTGCATTCCTTTTTATTTATTTACAAGGTTGATAAATGAACAGTTGAACATTATCGTTCAATCTCTTTATTTTTAGTGAGTAAAAGTATGACATATGACGCTTTTCATTTAAAATAGTTGCAATATGCTGTGGCATAGCTAATTTACACGTATAAATCCACATGAAAAGCTACATAATATAATAAAAAGAGAGACTATATATTTACTGTCAATTATTTAATAAAAGTTATAAAAAATTTACCTTAACTATATTACTAATTAAATGTGTACTGCATTAAATGGGTCATTCTAAATTCAGGATTGCACTCTGACACAATGGCGGATGTGTCTTTTTATGGCTATCATGTCAGTATGTGAAATGAACGCTCTTAATTATTGGCATTTTCTCTGCATTAATTGTTCCCCTATGGACTCTCTGTCATATTTATCAGGGTTATTCTTGTAATATTCATTTGGTTACAAAAGCACATTTGTGAAGAAAGCGTGCACCTTATTGGTATATCGATCGAGTCCTTTGGCTAGCAATAACGTATACTGGAGCCATATTAGGCAGAAACCCCGAAAGGATTTGGACATGAAACCCAGCAGGACATTGACTAATCAAATTTACCAATCATCCTGCTATATTTTGTCCCGGACTTCAATAAACTGAAGCCAATTAAGGTCTATGTAACGTTAAAGCTTTTAAGGAAACTTGTACATTGTATTGGTTGCATTAGTAAAGTATGAAATATCTCGCTCGAACATTGATACTTAAAGCAGTTACAATATGGTGTATTATTACGCGCTAGTGAGCTTACTAGTCATTGTTTACCAAGGGAACATTGACATCACATTCACATTTGCATATGTAAGCAAGAGCTTATTAAAGCCATATTACGCCTAACAATAATGAGTTATCTGTTAGAAAGAGCAAAGAGTGTTTAATAATGAAATATTTGATTTACAGCACATAAGATATTTATTGCCAGAATAAATTAGGGCAACGTATGGAATAGCTTGCTAAAAAGGTTGCTACTCACAAAGTCGTATTTTGACTTCCCATAAAACAATAACTGTGCACTATGCTTACGTACATTTATATGCTATATGGTTAATGAATATTTTATTTGGAAATATAACAAGACACTATGGAAAAGATTGTACAAACTGGAAATAAAAAGCCTTATTTTTTTAGGCTAAAAAAACCTCAAAATTTAACATCGAGCACTTTATTCAATTGGTCAGTGTAAAAAAAAAACTTAATCAAGATTTTACTTTTTCTAGATTAATATCATTTAAATCTGACGATGAAATGTGTATCGTATGTTAGCAATTATTTAAGAAATAAGACATTATTTTTTGTGGAATATTTTGCTGTTTTTTTTCTAACGAATTGCTATACGCTCAGCATTATTGCAAAAATTTTAAAAGTATTTTTATATTACTTGCAAGTAATCGTAAACATTGTGACATTATTTTTTGTGGAATATTTTGCTGTTTTTTTTCTAACGAATTGCTATACGCTCAGCATTATTGCAAAAATTTTTAAAGTATTAAGTCTCAGTGAGGTTACAATTCAAGCCAGTCGGAATATCTCTTGAGATCATTAATTCAATGAGGATTTAATAATATTTTAGGCCGGTGCTGCGCTGCGTGAAAGATGTTGCTCATCGAGATATATCGCGTGAACATATACATCAAGACAAGTATGCAATCATTACCTATATTAATAATGTCCTTCGAGAAATTACTCATTGTTTTGATATTAATAGCCTCAAACCCTGCACATGTTAAAATGCCATCAAAATGATTACTTGGGAATGTTATCTAATTAAATATAATGTTTGTGTTAGAATGTCACGTTTATTATAATTGTAAACTTACTAATTACACATCACATACCTAATTTAAATCAGAATATTGAACGTGAAAACCTTGAAAACTCAAGTCAAATTGAAAAAGAAAAGATTCGGGGTCAGTTTGGTTCTTTATGTGTATGTGTATGTACTACAGTGATAAATACATACATTGTACGCCAACCAAAGCACGGCCTTGATCCTCATTAAAATTCCTCCACATGAAAATAAATGTCATTTAGAATTAGATGATATCAGTGTTCAAAATTACAGATAATTTCAACAGTAATCTAAAGCCTAAAAGCACTCTTTCTGAGACAGATTTCCCTCTAACTGAAATAAATAAGCCTTTAAAGATAATTAAGTTAATCTCAAAGGATATCTGCGTGCTTCTGTAAGTCATTCTTTCTCAACGTCATTGCTATATAATTTATCGCACACTTAAGGCTAGTGCCTGGCAGTTTATTTCCTTTTTTCGGCGGCACACTAGTATCCTCCTTATAACTCAATGCAGATTATTTTATACCATTACTATTCATTTGATCCATCCTTTAACATAATAAAATGACAAAGATAATCATTTATGTTATGTGGAATTGGTCTATAGAATTGATAAGTTGAAAGAATAAATTATAGTATGTTTGTTAACATGTCTTAAAAAATATGTCAATTGGCTATAACGGAGCTATCCGCTATACTTGTGGCATGAGAATGTTTCTTTTTTAATCGTTTCCCTACACGACTTTCCAGTATTTTTTCACATAATTACTTCACATTTGAAAAAAATCACCTGTTGCAAAAAAAAAATGTTCTACCAATAATAATAATTAGTATAACGGAGACCGTCTAAAGGAATCGAGTAAGTTATAATATCATCAGACATTTGCCGATATTTTCCGAACTACTTATAATCCATGTAAAATACTAAACTACAATGCATTTTATATGTAAAGTGAACGTATGTATTATAATATATCCCAAACAGTGATTTTATCGCTCAATAACATCACTGTTTGGAGTTCGAACGCGACGAATTATATCACGAGGGCGTAGCCCGAGTGATATAATGATGCGCATCCGAACGACAAACAGTGATGTTATCAAGCGATAAAATCACCTATTTGGATATATTATTTCGATTCTAACACGACATCAACAAATAAATGCTGCGTACCTGATATTAAAGCAAAATTGTGCCCGATTTGTTTCCGTACCTATTTCAGCGCGTCGGATTCTTTTAGAGTTACATCACATGTATAATGATTACGTCACATATCTAAATATAGAACGTCAACTGTGACTCTATTGCCTAATAACACACACTTTTGGTTCTTCTATATTCAATATTGAAAAATACGGGTCATGTTAGAATTACAGTTATGTTATGTATTTTTACAACGCATTGCATTTGTCTCACAAATAGATTAATTATTATATAAATATTTAAAGAAATAAGTGTGTTTGTTTGTTTTTTACCTAGTATATAATATCGCATTTTATTCATTGTCGAACCGTCGTAGATCTTAGTCTGTTAATTTTTAAGTAAACAATCGTGCGGTTGCGTAAACGCACACTTTTTGAATAGTTGAAAGTGAAAAGATATTAAATACGGAAGAAGTCATGGCAGCATTGACACAATTTTTTTAATAGTCAAACTGACCGAAATATTCAAAAAGTAAAATGTATTGCAGCGATCAATAACTACTGTTATAAATGATGTAACATTAACGTGGTACTGTCGATTATGAAAGTGCTTGCATAACGGTTACTTATAGAACAATTATCATTTCACGGAAAATGGCAAAGCAGTTACCGATATTATCTGAAATTGAAAATATGTACTCTAAATATCAACGTTTATATAATACCAAATTATCGCGATTTGCGTTGATATGATATTGAGGCCACTTACGCAACATCACGAATTATGAAAAAAAAGTACAGCAACATTCGCAGAAACCGGCCTCAATACCCTTTCTAAATCAAGTCAGTTCGGCAGCATACCACATACAATGATAGATAAACCTGATGAAAGAACGGGTATAAACTGTGGTGCAAGGGATAAATTAACTAAATTACTATTGATTTTTCTTTGTCAGTGAAATTTCGTATTTTACTATTCATGTTATTAAAGCAACTAAGATGAAGAGAATAAAAATGTTTAATATATGAATATTTTGTAATCAAAGCAACCACAATCGTCTTTTGGAAACGCATTTACACCCCATATTTCAGGCATACATTTATATATTTTGCGTCCGAAATAAATGAGCGCATATTTATAGTTCAAACATCTTAAAACACCTTAAGGCTGTCTCTTAATATTTCTTTCATTTATATGATAATGTATATTTTATAATATTTCTGTGTCATTAAAGTTTGCTTCTTTAAAAGGAAGCATACGAGAGGTTTTTTGCACTGGTGGAAGATTAAAGTAAGAATTTCTGATTGGTCAAATTGCATTAGCGAACAATAGCAATATATCACCCATTTCCGGACAAGTTCCAGGACACCTAAAAGTGCTTTATAGCGTTAAATGTTACTATTTTCGAAAACTAAAATAATATCTAACACTATTCAGAACACAATATTCAATTTATGCAGCTTAAAGATTTTACCACTATTCAAAATGCTTAATGTAACAAATAAGATATTTTCCGATCTTTCCTTTTACCAATTTGTTCACATCGATCTTAATATTTTGTTTACGTAAAGTTTTTTTGAATGGGAACATGCGCATAACAATATTTTGTAGACTTGTTATAATGATGTAAGGCTTTAAATGAGATCAATTAAATTTAATTTGATACACACATTAATCATTGTCAAGACTGTGGAAAGGTCTGATGACCTGTAAACGCTTCGGCGTTATATATCTCTGTTGTACACGGCACATAAAAATGTACTAAATGCATGGTAGAAATTATTGTTTAATACATTTTAGATAATACAGTTTATTATATCATGATATATAAATATGAGTTTTTATGAAAATGGACAAACGTTAAATATATCATATTTATACATATACCATAAATATCGTGTTTGCAAAAATATTGATAAAGATATTTTATAGTTATCAATATAATCATGCTGATTCATAGTCGAGCCAACAAAATCCAACGATTGTCAATTGTGTTCAGGCATGTTTTGTCGGTAGCCTGTTGACAACTGTCTATACCGCCGTAATCTCTACACTTTCTGTTTTATTTTCAAATTTTCTTAGTTTAGTTATCATTCGGTTCATCTTGTACATGTCTTTGTTAACATTTTTCTCATTTGAACAGTTTAAACTTGGTAAAAACGTCATGTCTTTAAGCACCTTTCTGAATCTACTTCCAAATATGTAATAAACTATCAAATTTGTTGTCAGTGAAATGTAATACACAAGTAACGTGATTTGTTGAATCGCCTCTTCTAATGAGGAATAATGTCCTTGTTGTTCTTCTGCCGCGAATATTGAAGAAATCATAATCCTGAGACGGTTAATATGTGATGGTAAATTTAGGCATATGAATGTGACTGTCACAGCAAATAACATTTTCGTAACCTTTGCCATGGGATTTTTTACTCGTTTCGCTGTTGGAGCCCGGAGTCTACTTCTTCTGTTGTAAGACTTTAAAAGACTGCAAACAATAGCTGTCATTACTAATGTTATACATATTAAAGGCACTACTAGTGTTAAAAGAGTATCTGCATATATAAATATCTGCACTGTTTTATAATACTGCGCGTACGGAATACAAGTATCGGGGTTCATCGCCCAAAACGGAAAGCTATAGATGCAGACGCTGACCACAAAAAGGATCCCAACGGCAAACCTAGCTACATTTGTCGTGCATACTCTATTTACAATAAATGGACGACAAATTCGAATGTAGTTTTCTGCAGTTAGGAAAACAACTAACCAAACTGATATACATCCGCACACATAAGTGAGGAATATTATGATTTGACATGAATTCCTGATTTCCCCTAAACGTAACTCGAATGTTCGTGATATCCAAATTATAAGGAGTGTAAAAAGAAATCCATTATCAGAAAAGCCTCTTACGGTAAGAAAAATGCTGCACGAACGTTTCCGTAAAGGTTTTTGCAAGAAAACCAAAGATGCTATTGTGTTTCCAATCAATCCTAAGACACATATTATTGGAATTACGTATTTCTGGATATAGTCTGTTATCATATGTGGTGAAGACCCGTAGACTTGCTGCGTTACGTTGAACACATATGTGTCCTCATTTCCATCATTATAAACGACGTTGACATTTGTAGAAGTATTCTGATAAGATCCAAAGAACAACGACATGTTAGTATTCATCCTGAAAAAAAATAAATATAATTGTTTTAATAACAGATAAGTTAAACCAACATACTTGCAAAAAAAATAAAACATTTTCAGATTACAATGCATAAAACATTTTCTTGCCTATAGGAATTACGTGCTGTATTTGTTTCAATTTTAATTCATTGGCAGTCATTTTCGTATATAATTTTCAGTTGCTTTATATACATCGACTAAAATAGAAAGTCTTCTACAGAATATTGCATTTTTGTTTCATATATTACTATTTAAGATAGTTCACGTTTATTGTATTGTTTCTCTTAACATCTAGCGATTTCAGTTGCAAGCTTATCTAATCCAACACGCAACGTTTCTATATGAGGCATAATTCCTTTGCAAAAAAAGAAGAAACAACAAGATTAATTTGTTAATCACTCTCATCTTAAAGATGTTATTTATAAGACAAAACGAAAAATAAAACAATTGTCAACAACTAAAAGTAAAGAAGAAGTTACCTTGTAGAAGAAATCACAGAATAATCCGATATAGCATTGTTTGGAACCGACTCTTTTCAACTCTCTCTGCACATTGCCGTGACAATCGGAAAATAATCTAATATCTACTTTTTTTCTCGGCAAACTCCTCCCCTTCTCGGAAAATTAATGTGTCATATATGTGTAGTTATAACCTTTTGGAAAAGCAGAAAGGCCATAATATTTAAGAAAATATGTAATTGATTTTGCTCTTATCTTCATTATTTATTTAGTGTTTTTACAAGGTCGGCGTCTTTTTTATATATATCTTATTACAAAGATTTATTTCAGTAAATGTGTGCATACAGGTTAAATAAAATCATACATATTCATATATTTAAAATGACATTTCACCAATATCAGATACAGCACAAAAAGGAAATATAACAATCCTTATCATTACTAGATGTCACACAATCGTCTTAATCAAATGTTCTAACATTAAAAATGAATACTTAATCAATATGATGTGTGTGCGTGTGTACAATCTTTAACAAACATTTGTATACATATCACGCATACTGTTCACATTTAGAAAATTGATTGCTTTCGAATTTTAGAAAGGACGGATTCTTATTGCTAAGTGAAATCTTAATGCTAAGTGAAAATTTAGATATTATTATGAAAATTCTGATGAAATGACAATAGCCAGTGGTAGTTTTTGGTATCATCATAACCTAGTTGTCATGAAATGAGAACAAAAAAGTGTGGTATCTTATGTTGTATTATTTTGTGCTGTGTTGGACTAAAATGTTGGACTCTGTTGCACTGTGTTGATCACTATGCTTTTCTGTACGTTTACTGACAAGATCTGTTCGACACAACTACATGAATATCAGAATTATAGACTTAATAATATTTATCTTAAGTTATTAGTTTCTGTTCTTCACCTTTCTCACAAGAGCTTGTTGGACTTTTTAATTTCAATTTAAGTACTGGTTAAAGCTTTTATAACTGTATGAGGTAAATAACATTAACACATTAGCTCGTGAACAGATTAAATTTAACAGATTCCACCTTTCTACATGTTCTATAATTACCACTGTAAAAAATATATTAATTTATCACATATCAGATGAATTATTTGTATTTTATCAGGAATCATACAAAATAACCTAAAAAATTGAAAATGTAATATGTTGTTTTATTGTGTGAATAGTAAACAGTAGCACATATGTTTGTACTTAACATACATGTATTATAACAAATATTTGAAATAATGTCGTTTGTAATTATCCGTGAAGTATGTTTTTCTGTTTGCTGGGAAGCAGCGACAAACCACGCTGAGAAAAGCGTAACGTTAGATTTTGCCCGTGAGCGTAAAGACAACATGTGCCGTATTTCTAACATCTCGTAAATTGCTATTAATCACATGGCAACAACTTGAGTGTATTCGCCAAATTTTATCAGAAATAGGTTTATACCAATAAAGTGTAAAGTGTTGTCGTTATCATATTTTTCTTCGGGCTAGTTATTTAGTTCATTGGCATAATTGAATACGGTTGGATGCAGTTATAAAAAAGCAATGTGTTGTTTATCCTAGTAAAACTCATGAACTGGCTCATTTTATATATATTGAAGGATATGATTTTGTTTCTACTTTTGTGGGTAGAATTTATTAGAAGAAAGAAATAATAAACAATATCCGTACATTTATGCTATGTATATTCGTATACCAATAAATCTCAAATTAAGCAGAACTAAACAAAAACTGCAAAAAAAACGCTTAAAGGTTTAACCATCCTCAAAACATTCAACACGACACAATACCATTGGTCAGTGGTGAACGCTTCTAACGTACCCTTTGAACCTTCTGTAAGAATCCGCAAAACTACATGTTTACTCCTTTGCTCTATAAAAATACTTATTTTAAGTATTTTTAATAAGTCGGATATTCGTTTTCGTCTTGTAACATTTACCAGTTTTACAAGACTTTTACAAAAAGGAGATTACAATTAATATATATTATCGAAACTGCATCTCTACTTTGCAATTAAATAAGTTCACCAGAAGTCGTCCTTTACTTTTCATGAAGACGAAAATTGGAAAAACTACTTTCAAATTCAAATTTGATAAAACTAATACTTACATTATGTAATGTTGAACAATCGTTTGTATACCGATTGTTTCCATTATTATCTACTTTTACATAATGTTTTTTTATTACTAATGTTGGGTTTATTCTTGTTTCGATAAAACACTTAGACGGAGTATTCAATACCACCATCCTTATTCAGAATTATAAGGAAATGTCAATTATAAAAGAGAATTTCGTTTGATCACGTCAGCTCGCTTTCGTCTGACATCACTCTTGTAAATGTAAATGTTCTCAAAAAAGACTTAAGTATCTCTCTGTGTGTACACGTATGCCTTTGGTGTTTTTGATCAATTAAAACATTATTTAGACAAGTTTGCTACCAAACAGTTCACTGTTAACTTTTCCAGCGTAATCATTGCCTTACAGCAACGGTTTTTCTAGTAATGTCGGTAGATTTTAAATGCCGCATGATTAGAAAAGTATAAAGCTTGTCTTTTGACGTTTTACCTTTTATACACAGGCTTCATAACCTCTGATCCCCTTTAGAAATGTCATTGTATTTATTTCCGCCCATTGTTTTTCAGTTTCAGGACAAACGATTTCTATTATTTTGGGACCATACGCCGCTTTTCAATGAATGACACTTAGTATCACATTGAAAGTTTCATGATAACCGCCCATATGAACACATTTGCAGATGTTTCGAAATTAAAAACCTCACCATTTTCATGTTTAAATGTTGAATTCTGCTTAAGCCGGTTCTAGCGTGGCATGAACTCAACACGTTTATGCATATCATCTAACGCATAAACAAATTTCCTATCGATTACTTCGATGAAATGGAGACATATGTTATATAACACCCTGTAGACACATTTTTTTCTTGAATAAATAACATATACTGCTGCATCGCTTATTATACATAACACGTTATAGAGGACGTTTAAATTGAAGACTTAAGGAAAGGTTTAGCTCATCAATTATTATTCGGTTGATTAAAGCAGCTAACTAACTATCGGAACAAATTCCTTTAAGAAGATCTTTAATGCATTTGTGTTGACCTATATATTATTTATTTAGTGGCAGCGTGGCCGAGTGGTCAATACGACACCCTTGAAATCCCAGGATCGCAGGCATTGTGGGTTAAGCCTCTTCATTGGGCTTCCATAAGCAAGACACTCAACACTGCTCATTGCTTAGTACTGGTTGGTCCCAGGCACCGATTCGAGACTGTTTCAATACAGCTTGCCTCTTCTTACTTTATCGAACTATTAAAATAAGTAATAAATTTGTATATAATATACTAATTATCTTTTATATCAAACCGGAACGAAAGGCAAACAGTTTATGTTATGTGCGATTGCCAGACTCACCCAGAAGTCTTTAAGAGCCATTTCACAATAGTATGTATGTGTTGAGCGCAATGTCTATCACTGTAGTAATGCAAAATACCAGGTCGCCGTGGAAAATGACGCCTAATCATCTTATAATACATGTATCTCATTTTAAGACTGACAATATGTGTCTTATAAAGAAAACTTATATATCAAGCGAAAGTTTCAGTTTAAACAAAAATGACGCTGAATTTCTTACATGAGAAATATTAAAGGGACATATTAACAAAAGCACGTAACATAATATTTAAGCTTGACTGTTGATGGATGGACCATGAAAATCTTTTTTAGTAATACTGTTTAAAAAATCTAATAACAACTTAAACAATATACGTGTACTTATTAAAATCAAATAGTGAAATACAACGGAGACATTGATATCTAGATTTATCACATTAACTGCGGCGCAGAAGTGTGATAAATAGAGGGTATTGAATGTCTGTAAGTTCAATACTGAATTTATTGAACGAGTTGAATAAAATTATATTATTCGAGCCTCTGTCGAGCATATAATTATCTATTCAACGGGTTCAATAAATTCATTTATGAACTTACTCGAGTTTAATCTTCTATTTATCAAATACCAAAAAATCAACCCGTTTAAAGTGACAAAGAACCATTTTTCATTGACAGTTTAGCGCTAACATTAAGCGCGTCTTTACACTATGTTTGCCAAATGGCAAAAAAATGTTTCAATTAATGTTTGTTTGTATGTTACGCATTTGTGATTAAATTTGGTAAAACCTTTATTTGTTAAGTCTGTTTAGTGACATTATTTGCATACGCGTTGCAAGTTTTGTACACATCAATACTCACGTCAAAAAGAATATATCGACAAAGAATGCATGCAACGCAAAAAAACAACAACAACAACAAGAACAAAAATAAACAGTATCAAGAGTGCTAAATTAAATATCGATTTCAAAAATAACAATTTTGAATTGTACATAAACAGTGCATAAATGGTTAAAAAAGTGATAACTTAAATAATATTTAACTTATACCATACACATATGGTAATATAGTGCACATCTGGACCAGCGAAATTTCACATATTATGTATTTTCAACGATGCTCAATTTTGTGATACAAATGAGGTTCTCCCTCCCCAAACGTCCTGTGTAATGGTTGGTGATACTTTTGAAAAAAAAACACAACAACAACAAACAAAAACAATGGTAAGTGACTTTACATATTCATTATCGGAATTTCTGTTATCTTAACCATTGAAATGAAATAAACATCGAATCAATACTAACTTAAGTGCATTCGTGTTTACCAAGTAAATAATAGATGCAATATTAGCCTTCCAGAGAAGGTTTATTCATGAATTATTCCAAGTGTGTGTGCCTTTTGTTGATTAAAGTATGTAATATTGCTGTTTTTATAAATATTTATTTTATTGATTTGCTGTTTTTATAGTACTTTAAACTACAAAACAAGCGGAGAAATGTAGGTTTTGTACATTTCAACTATAATATGACTAAAATATTATCACATTACAACTATAATACCAAAACACTGCCAAAACATTACCACAACCAAAGCCAGTATACTACTATTATCGCACTATTCTACAAGCACACAAACACTGCAATACTATAATACCATAAATAAAC